CTACAAGGCGCCCCGTCCCGCTCTCCGCCGCGCCTTGCCGTCCCTCCTCCGTTCTTTTGTGTTGCATGCCTCGCTGGGGTAGTTAGAGGCAGCATGCACCAGAGCACGGGCATTCGTCTCGTGCCACCGTGCCACCACTATACCTCCCTCCTCCCTCCCTCCTCCTTCCTCCCTCCCCCTTCGGTGCCGCCTCAACTCGTCAGCGACGCTGGCGCGGGCGTTCAAGGTTGGACACGCACTCTGGGGGCCGACCTCGGGCCCTGGCACTCCACGCCCACAGAAACAGTCCACGCCGCGAAGTGCATATGACGGATGGCATCGATCTTCCGCAGACGTCCGAGACAAGGAACAGCTCGAGGTGGAACGGTTCACGCGATGTCAGCAATCATGACCCATGACCCACGATCCACGACGTCGCGGCAGGACTCTCCAGTCCTGTAGATCGTGCTCCATTTAGAGCTCCATTACGAGTTTCATATGCAGGCACGTGCCCCTTTTGGCACGCCCCGTCACGCTGATTGTGCTCCATGGGAAGCTCCATCCACAGCACCAGTCAGAGGGGTCGCATGCGTGCCCGCGCCCTACTCGGCAAACCAGTCACGTGCGGATCGTGCCCCGTGGGGATCTCCACCTTCGGCTCAGAATGAGTGACTGCGCCAACGACGATCCTTGCAACACTCGTGCGCGATTCGGCGGCGCGAGTTTGTCTTGGTGACCGAGTCGGCGCTTTTTGCAGACATGGCAACGTGGTCTGTGACATCCCAGGCTGGCGAGGGAAGTGCCGACCCTGGCGGCGCTTTCCATTTACCCAGCGGTCGTTGAAAGTAGGTCTTTCTGGATTCACCTATTCCAATCTACTTTAAGCGCCTCCCTACTTCAGTGATCGAGTGGCTTCGCCTTTACCGTCCTCCTGAGGGGGCGGGCGGACGCCCAATCTACTTTCAACGCCTTCCTGCTTCGTGCTTCTGCCCACCTCTTCCGACCGACGTGTAACGGAGTTCGAAGCATGAGCGCGGCATTCACATACATTTTCGTAGTTCTGTACGATTTTCTTGGGTCGGCGCTGCGCCACCATGGCGGCGCCGCCAGCGCCAACCTCAGCACGCTCCGCGCGCCTGGGGATGGGGGGGACGGGGTCAGCGCAGATGCCAAGACATCCGCGAGGAACTCCGACAGTCTAGGTTCATGGCGTTCTCCATTCTCCATGGAGTAGCAGGGGTGCGCAGACGACACAATTTTGCACTTGTGTGCGCACAGTACACCATCGCATACTTGTCCACACTCGTGCAATGACTTGAGAGGTGGGCTAACTATAGCAAGTGTGTCTCTATTCATACGCGAAATTACGATTCAAGCTATTTGGGTGCGGGCATGTACAATTCACATTATATCTGCACGTTTGCGTGAAAGTGTAGTTTTGTCATTGTTGTATGTACAAGTTACGTTTAGTAGCAGACGCGCCGACCCGCCATTCCAGCGTCTGGACGGCTGTGCCCCAGCAGGGGACGATCGCCACCACGCGCCGCACATTTAGGCCAGCGTGGCACCGCCGCCTGAGAGCCGCATTGCAGCAACCAGAGAACTGCTCGACCGACACCACAGCTCGATGGTGCAGTCCAGCACCGGCAAGCCAGCCAATCGCCCTCAGGCAGACTTTTGGCCATGCAGCAAGTGCCAGAGGACGAACATATACTCCAGCAAACAAGTGCATATTCTGCGTGCCAGGGCCAGACAAAAACAGAGACAGTGTCCCGACGAAGTTGACTCGTCGCCGCCGTGAAAATACCAGTGTCGCACGAGGAAGCAGCCATAGTGGTCCACGAGCTGGACTCAACAAGGGCAATGGTGGCAAGAAGACGCAGCAGGAGGAGGACCACGCCCGAAACGGGCCAGGTCAGCACGCGCTCCTGACAGGAAGTGGAAGGTCCAGCTCACGCCGCCACTGCCTCGTCCAGCTCAGCCGGAGGAAGCCATGAAGCATCGATCGTGGTTGCCAATGCCCACGTCGAAGAAGGATAGCATGGCTCATCGAGACCAGTTGAAGATCAGCCTCGACGGACTGGAACAGCTTACCAACAGCGCCTACCAGATAGGTCAGATATCGGCCCGCATCGCAGAGCTAGAGCAAGACTATGCGGTCACCCTGTACATGGTCATGTACGCCAGGGATCCGAAGGCCCGCCCAGAGCAGCAGAAGGCACATTTTGACATAATCAGGAAGCGTTTGAGTTACGCCCAGAGAGCGGAGGAACAGGCCCTTGACGAGCACGAGGAAGCGGTCACCCTCACACAGGCGTTCTTCGAGGATGTGCAGAAGGCAGAGTACCTGCTATCCCACTTCGAGCGCCTCGAGGACGAAGAAGAAGGAGAGGATGCTATCATGGCTGGCGAACAAGTCCAGGATAAATAAGTGCCGCCCACGCCGCGGGCATCTCCCGCATCGGCCAGTTCACCGCCCATGGATGCCAAACTGAGTCCAGGTCAGATGGCAACCGCAGCAGCGTGCATAGCAGCCATGCATACCACGAACATCGACCTGGCAGCCCAGGTCAGCGGCCTCGCCGCCTTGATGGCGAACGTCCAGCAGGCCCTCGCCGCGGACATCAACAACGCAGCGCTGTCACAGCCAGCGGGGCAGAGCCAGGCACTGATGCCGGCGCCAGCGAGCCAAGAGGCCCACGCAGGCGCGGCTCCAGTATAGCTGGCTGGCAGCAGCTGCGGTGCCATCGCCGCCTCACCCAGCGCAAGGAGAAGTGGCAGCGCCAGGTGAACGTGCAGATGCGACAGCAGAGGGGGCGGTGAAAACGCCCAGACGAGGAAGGGCGGCGTCAGCATCGGCCAAGCCAGCAGACCCCAAGATCACCCCCAAGAAAATCAACGCGGGGATCGCGGTGGACAAGTCAGCCAGCAAGCGCGTCCCAGGCAGCGACCTCAAGGTCGCCTTCGACAGGGGCAGCGCCCGCAGGGCGACAGCCGAGGAGGCCGAGGTCGCCGCCGACGATGGCGACGTCGACGAGGGCATGGGAGACGAGCCCAGTCCACAATTGGTCTGCCAGGGCCAAGATTATGTGTCATGACAAATACTGTTGCATGTTGGGGGGGAATTTCCAGACATCTCTCCAATCATTCAGGAATGCCCATGCCCCGCCCCTTCATGGGAGACCGAATCCAACCTGCGTGGAGATGTTACCAGCGCCATCCCCGACCTGGTGGATACCCAGGACCGTCTCCGTACGGGAACTACTTGCCGATGTGGTCGCATGCGCTAGCTTTCGGCACTCAGCCACCATCTCAGGTCTGTCCAAGCTGGGCCCTGACCCGGGCATCCCACCATCCATGCGTCTGGGCATCTACACGGGCGGCGCAGCTGGGGGCTATAAGGACGGGGGGGGGGGATGTTTGCGAGCCAGCGTGGCACCTTGTGGTCCTCGCAGCAGCACTTGAGCACGCGTGGCTATGCGGCTACTTGGGAAGTGCTCTTGAGTCAGCACAAACATTATGCCCTACATGTTTATTTTCTGCTGCTGCAGAATATGAAGCGGGTATCTGGGCTACAGTGTGGCTTATCAGCTTTGCAAACACATTACAACAACTACCACCTATGTGCATGCATGCTGACAACATGCAGGTTGTACGAAGTGCCTCCTTAGGTGTTCTCAATGCCCCCCCCCCCATCGAGGCCCCCGATGGCCCCTGGACAGCATGGCGCAGATACTGTGCCGCGTTTATTCGAAATTTTACAGGGGGCATCTCCCAGGACATTCCGGCCATGCGTGGGACGAAATGGCAGATGCCGCAGCGCGTCTAGCAGCCGTGCACCAGCTTATTCACCTACCTGTGCCGAGATGGAAAGCGGAGCTCGACCTTCATGGCATCGATAGGCTCTGAGGTGGATGTGGCTGGACTACTTGGCCGTGGAGCGGCGCGCCCAGTTTCCGCCCGCCTCAGGCGCGCCACTTAGGCCGCCGCTTAGTCCCAAAGTCTGCCAGCTGGACGGGTTACTTCAGCATGCTACGCACCAGTGCGAGACAGTGGGCAACTGCCCCATGTTCTGGGTTGCTGCGGCGTGCGTTCTCGCTCTCCATCCTAGCATGTGGTCTAACCAAATAGATGACGGCGGTTCAGGGCCAGGAAGAATCGTGCATTTTGCAGGCAGCATAGCAGCTCAGGACTATCACATTGTTGGGGTCCGGGAAGCCAGGTTGCAGGTACACAAGACACAACCTGTGGGGAAGTGCACTGCTTTCCATTCAGCAGCCACACCTCGCGCCAGCGGGCGCAGAAATCTGCGTAGTGTGGATCGGACAGCGCATAGAATGCATGCCGGGCTACGCTACCAGGGGAGACATGTGCAGGCTCTTGCGCGCCGGGCCGACTAGGCGCACTTTCTCCATGCGGGGGCCAGGCATTTCGCTCAGTATCATCGTGCTGCGCGCTCCACGCTCCAGGGCAGGAGCTTCAGCGGAAGCATCGGAGGCGCGCTGGCAGCAATGGTGGGCAGCCACCACAACGCTTGTGCAGGGGCATGACAGATTATCGCACTGGCGGATGCGAATGCGGCAGTCGGCAGCATGTTCTCCAAATCGATCGGCGCTCAGGACAAATAACGCCAACAACTTCCAAGGGCGTTCTTTCACGAGTACCTCATGGGAACCGACCAATGGCCCCCCTCTACCTTCCTACCCTTCTCCACGGGGCGCTTGGGGACCTGGGGGGCGCCGAAATAATGTGCTTCAGCCGAGAGAAGGGGCTGCGTCGCGGTCTTAAGCGGCATTGGAGTCATACAGCAGGCAGTCGACGGCATTCTCGACCTAACTGTTTCACGTGCCAGAGGCATGCAGCGAGCTTTAGACGCTGCTTGCTCACGCGCCTGCAGCATAGTACGACGTACATAGCATAGACCACACACATGCTTGACTCGCACGTGCGAGAGGCGATGCAGGTAGCATTCCCAGTGCGCAGGGCGGAAAGCGGGAGGCAGCCGCGCCAGTGTCGGATAC